GTGCCTAAAGATTACTTTGTGCGGCGTTAAATGAAATGGTGAATTTTTGAAGGATTTTGAAAACGGAAAAAATGATAGTCATGCCGGCCCAGCATCATCAACATTGAAAAATGCCCCGGCATGAAGTGGTTGATGAGAATTTTAGTTTCACAACCAAAGAGAAAATTATAAATGGCATTACCTTGACCAAAAATATACTGACTTTTGTAAAAGGCAAGGAATAACAACCTACGTTTGATATACAGACTCACTGAATTTGTTTACGATATCTGTGCAATACTTCTTACCACTCCAGAGAATGTCAAAGGAGTGATATTAGCTACTAATGTAAACCATGCCATGCCCATAGGCCAAGTTTAGGTTCTACACACGGTCTGCTTTCACAGACTTCTCAGACTATGTACCAAACAATGGGGAAATTAGCGAGAAGAAATGGCAAATGTCAGTTGCAGGAGGATTGGGGCACGCGCTGTGGTTTAACCAATCAGCAGTGTCTGTGTATACACAGGTTACGAGCTACCAAGATTCTTGGGAATTGACTTTTAAAGTTTTGTTGTCCCTACTGTTCCATTCAGCAAAACCCTGACGAATCAAGACTTACAGCAGAAATCTTCACGTCTCCACTCTTCAATCTCCACCCCGGCCCAGAGGCAGTCGTCAGCGTATTTGGCCACGTCCTCGCACAACGCACCTCTGTCTGGCAGGGTGCTGCACAGGTCATACAGGCAGCTTTCATAGTAGCCCTGAGGGTTGATGTCATCATGGCACTCCCTAAAGGGACCTGCCAACAATGTTTGAGCACGGAGAGAAAATGTTTCGTTTCTGAACCCACCTCTTCTGGACCGTCATCGAAAAAAAAATGAGCCTGATGGCAAACATCTGATCAACAGGTTGTGACAGACTTATGGTTCTTGAGTGATTTTGTGTTAATATACAGAAATTTTTACATGTTTATTATAATAATATAAATAATCAATGTCGGGTATATTTTCTCAAATATACATGAGAAAGATCCATTCTATATGAAATAAGTTGTCTGTGATGTGTAACAACAGGCTCCTTTTCCAGAGAGTTATCCCTCTTTCGATGTCATCCAACAAAAGGCCAAATGACTGATCAAGTTGCAAGCTCCAAATAAGGGTGTCCAAAAAGACAGAACTCTTCAGGGGTAAGAGATAGGTATTCACAAAGCCAAACAGATTGTGAAGAGATCACACATGGGGTGAGTAGGAGATGGATGGGTGGGGTAACAGGGTTTGGTGGGATGAGATGAGATGGGGTGCAGTGTTGTGGGGTGGGGTATAAAAGGGATAGGTCAGGGTGGGAAAAGGTGGGTACTGGTCATGTCTTTGTAAGGTGGCAAACAATGTTAACAGTGATTCTTTTCTTTTTCCATGAAAATAAACAATGTCATCAATCTTGCATGATGAACAGGGAAGTACTTGCACTTAAAGTGCCTTGAGATCACTGGCACTCTTTAACCCTAACAGTCCTCAGTCCTCCAACAGGTGAAGGATTGAGGAGTGTTAGGGTTAAGCATTACAAATGCTGTTACAAATAAGGTATTAGAGAGACATGCCACCATCAGGGACACCTTTGAGAGACACTGGGTACACTTATTCTACTTTCATTAGTAAATGAAAAGTTTTCCGTTTTGGGGGAACAGTTAGATGGTAAGGAGTCTAATACAGAAGTGAGCAAAACTTTGTTTCAAGCAAGCTTCTCCGTTGAGGAGTCCAAGGTTGTCAAACTTTGAGCCTAAGTCTATGGGACTGGGTTCATTATTGTTATCAATCAGGAGGGATTACATTATAATAGCAGGCAATATTTGCAATTTACTTTTCTCATTTCCAAAGATCCAAATCCTGCGTTTCCTAACATCGAAGTACACTTACCATTCTCTTGAGTGATGATGCGGCAGAGTTGCGTAGCTAGGTTGACACTGTCACTGTTTTCTTCACAGGGGTTGTAGGAATCACCCGGGGGCTCTGTTTCATTGCAGTCATGACCATACACCCAGCTGTTGCCGAAGCTGTTTTCGTCTTCAACCTAATGTGCATACAAATCCAACACTAGTTTGCAATCACCGCAGTGCACATTATCATCAATGTTATCAAAATCGAAGCAATTAATCAGATGTTGTCTAAGGGTTTGGGCTACTTTGGATAAAAGCTTTTCTGTGATATATTTTTGCTTTTGACTGGTTTAGTTTGGTTTGGTTGGTTTTGTGTTTGAGAGTGGATTTTATTTTTTCCTTTTCAAAGATTGAAATATCTTGTAAAGTAAAAATCGTTCGCAAATGAAACCCCTATTAAGATGCCAACAGTAATTTAATCAGATCAGACAGCTGCAATCACTGGATTTTTCATTCTCTGATTATGTGACAAAAATATACACAGTGTGCTACTATCAACCAACCCATGCCTCGACAAAAATGTAGTAAACTGACGATTGAGGGCATATGACACCAAAAAATCATTGGGATGAGGGGAGGAGGTGCTCTTACCACTCGTCCTCCTGGCGTTGTGAAGTCATTATCTGGATCCTCGTCATACGTGCCACACAGGCCCCAAGTACGATTCAAGTAATCTGGGGATACCTCAATGGAGAAGGCGTTGGTGCCGTCCCATTCCAGCTTGACATCAAAGTCTGTCTGGAGTACCTGTACAAGAACGTTTGTAGGGTGAAGTCGTGAGGGGCAGTTAAACACTTGGAATTTAAACAAAAATTCAAAGAAAAAAAGCCGTATGCTCCATGGCAAAAATATCTCCTACTCCTAATTTTCATGAGATCCTATAATATTAAACTGATTTAGAAGTAAGAAAGCCACGTGATCACACTCTGAAGTCCCCTGCTTATCATCTCTACCCTTAAAGTTTGTAAAAAAAATCAAACTGAAATTGGAGGATCAAGGACTGTTGGAATAGAGAAGAAATGCTTTAAATGTTAACTGGAAGTTTATGAAATCTGTAGGATCAGATATCATTTCATGAGGCCACAATGTTCAATAGGTGCATGAATTGTCTGGTTACATTTGATGACCTTAAACTGAAAACAAAATGAAAATTCACAATTTTCAAAATGATTAAAACAGTTCTTTGAGTAATTCCTATCAGCAATTACGTCTGAACTTTCTTACTAGTTGTTTTCCGACTCGCTTGATAGATACTCCTTCAAAAGGGTACACAGGTGTATTGAATTCAACCCCATTGATTCGTACTTCGCGGTCTTGAAGAAGTTCAATTCGCTGAAAAACAAATAAAACAGGTTATAAAACCAGGCAGAAGGCATATCATTGTATTTCTGTAACAGCAATATATGTATAAGGCTCTTTGCAACAGCATAACTACCCGTGCCCCTGCAATGGAAACATTAATTTCATTCGGTCAGACTGAATGTTCCATTGCACTCAGCTTTATCCCATGGAATAGAACATTCCATCTGTCACCTCATGACATATTTCTTACCACTGCTTTCTTCAACATTTAAAGATAGACTCTTGCGATGAGAAACTATTTGTCTCCTTACCGCATCTCCAGCAATAATGTGAAGCTCCTCCGTCAGGGCTACTCGGCGGTTCCTGCGGGCGGGCCTGTGCTGGGCAACCACTTCAAACGGAATCTCCTCATCCTTCAAGGTGCTCCTGAACACAATGTATCGACACTTGCCCTGGTAATTGAACCTGCGTCCGTCAAAGCTCGTGTAGTGCGGATCCCCATGACCAGAGCAGATCGCCATGCCTGACAGAGAGGTGAGACAAAGGGGTGGAGGGAAGGGGGAAAATGAATTTGATGAGCTGCCCAGAAAAAGTGATTGTCAGTGACAACACCTAACAGATTCCAACCTCTTTCCTATAAAACTTCCGCATTTAGATGTTTGACAGAAATATGGTGACCCAGTCACAGAAAAATGAGTAAAAGGACTGTAATTACTTTTTATCCACCTAAAATCTTATACAGACTGTAGTGATGAAGAAATTCAGATACAGTGGCATTGTCTTCATCTCATAGCTTGTATAGACTAATATACAAATATTTAATGATTTGAGAAGTTTAGTAAAACTGGCCTTCTAAGGGTGGTCCATCGAGCATTCTACAGAGGAGGGAAAGTAGTGTGGTCTATTCAAATGTTAGCTAGTGCACTATAGCAAGGCAATCAATGTCAGCTTTGCATCACTAACCAGTGCTACAATCCTCTCCCGACCAGCCTCGGCGACATGCACAATGGAAATTGCCGTCACCATCGCTGACGCATTCACCATTATCCGAACAATGCTCCTCTCCGGTGTAGCATGGATCCTCTGAAATGATGGCAATCAAGGGGCAAAACATTGTGTTATGTGTGCAGTCTCCTGACATCAGACAGAGCATACGGTTCAACATGTTAAGTAGCCTCCCGTTCGTTTTAGGACCACACATACTCACAAAAGAGAAGCATCACATTGTGCTACTACTGACCCATTACTCAACTTGCCACCTCAACCACAAAAAAATTCACTTCAAATTTCAACGCATTACGTGGATCACAAATGGGTCTGGTTTACGTATTACAGTGAGACACGCTTCCGACAAAGGAGAAATGCCTTCAAGAAAATGGTAGAACATGTATGTGGCTCCCTCTACAAGAATGAGTTTCATGTGCCCAACCTGACTTCGGCAGGTGTTTGGTTATTGATAGAAAGGCAATAATATACTTGCATGTGGACCTCCCCATGAGATTTTGTGTTATTGTTATGCACAGTTCGGTTAAGATTTCTCGAGTAAAACTGTCCAAACAAGCTTCACAAGCATCCTCAGCCACTGTCCCTCAAACCATCCCCCCCCCAAGTTCCATTTCTTTCAGCCTCCTTCTTGACATCCTATGCATTGTGACTTTTTAATAGAAATATACTCATCAAAAGCAACTTCAAATATGTGACCCGGTACATCGAAATCAGGAGTAAGTCGCAAATTGACGTTTTGAGATATGCACATGGTCAGAAGGAGAATTTCATGAGCTTTCAAATGGTACACATTACAAGTGTGTTGATGGTAACCTTTCACACATACACCTCCAAAGTATACAGAAACCACAACATCGATTTTTTCAACATTTACCCACAACTCCACTTTACTCGGCCATTACGTCAAATGGCCTCAGCAACTTATTCCTGATTACGATGTGCCAGGTCACACATGATGTGGAGGTAATCAAAGGAGAGGCAGAAGATTAACGTGGGAGATCCGACTCACGTTGGCATTCGTATCCGTCTCCGTAGTAGCCCTCATTACAATAGCAGCCATGCTGACCATCCCTGACTCCACACGTCGCATTCTCATGACAAGACTGAGCCACACAGCTGACAGTTCCTGGCCCGTCGCAGGTACACAGCATGGTGCAATTATCATTGACATATGAATCGCCAGGCTAACAAAAATTGGAGAACAGAGAAAAAGAAATGATGGGAATCCAAGCATTACAGCATGAAAATTGACTTACCACAGCACTTCAGATCAAGGGCAAGTTCCCATGCACTTTCAATTTTCTGGTTCAGCACTGAACAAAAAAATCATTTTTTCCAATGCTGTAGAAAGAGGAAGTGAAAAGTCCCCTGACAGCTATTTTTGAACAGCATCACTCCAGGTATTTTTCCTGACACAGTTCAAAACAGCATCCCCTAAGACAAATGGGGCCAAGTGCAGGAAACAAGGACAAAGACAAGTTTCAAAGCCAAATAAAAAAGCAGGATATATTTGCTACTTTCAAGACTACGCCAGCACTGGCATGTATGTGTGCTGTGCAACTCTCTGCAGGTGTTTATAAATTCTATATTTATTTTCAAAATAACTGTACGTTGATATTTTTTTTAAATTTTTAAACAAAATATGGAAAAATCTACACTGGTTGGCAGCTCTGTAAAACCATGTAAGCAGCTTAATCCAAATTACATCAGGGAGTCTCTGAACTTAACACTTCACACCTTCATCTGAGCGACCATGCTACATCACTTACCTCCAAGTAGAAACGCCCACTGCAACCACATTCTTCTTGCCGAACGCACTCGTCGCCGCTGAGCAAGTATCCGTCGTTACACTCGCAACCCTCCACACAAGGAAAAGGGCAAAACTCGGCAGTGCCGTTAGGGCAGCGCGCCGGGCAGGCAGACATGCAGCGACTGTAGTGGGAGTGTTCAGGGCATTCAAGTGCTGCAATTAACAAAAAAATGGAATCGGAGCAAAACTACAGAAAGAAAGAATACAGAAATTTGACAAAGGTGATTTGAGCTAATCATGGCTACGTTTGGCTGAAAAGAAAGAATAAACATTTATGATTACAGTAAAAAAAAACACAACTTACGGCAGACTTGTGGACTCCTCCAAATGCCGACTGGGAGCCCTGATTCTTGGCACACGTCTGCATAGAATGATACACTGGGACAGAAGTTGGGAAACTCCGGGTAGGTAGTACACAGGTCAAAAACGCAGCTTTCATAAAAACTGTCCGCAAGACCAAGGCTAGAGCAGGAGCTGAACGTATCTGGACACCGAAGGAAGGAAGGAAAAAACCCACTATTATCTGTGCCCACAGTTCTCACTCTGAAGTCATTATAAACTCTGAAGTTGTCGCTCTCCAAATGATTGAATCAGCTTTCCTCTTTGCTGTCTGTGTAATACTCAAAGCAGAGTCATCAATTCCAGGGTTCATTTCTCCTCCAACCAATGGCCGTTTATTTGGGGTTTTTTTTGTCATGTCATGACCACAGCATACCTGAGTAGACTATGCTGCAGACTTCTTGCACAAGGACAAGCACGACTGGGTTGGGGTGGCACACAAATGGTGTCGGCTCCTCATCGGATTCACAGTCTTGCCCCTCGACCGCCCAGCTGTTGCCAAAAGCCTCCGGGGTTTCAAACTGTCATAAAGGAGGTGAAACACATAGTGATACTCCAAGAGGAAGAAAAGACCAAAGTGGACAATTTCAATTATCAATACGTAACTTAGATGATTCAGAAAAAGATTACTCGCTGCAGATAGGAATTCCGTAGCTGGGTGTCCCTTCAGTTAAAAATTCTCAAGTGATCATACACCACTGTGTACGGTTTCAGCAACAAAGCCCATGCCATTAGATTAGATTGTGTGAGGTAATTGTCCAGAAATCACAAGAATCTCTCAGAAACTCCAAAAAGTTAAGATGTTTTTAGAAGCAGTTGAAATTCTGCTTTAAGTGTTAATAAGTGTCCCTTGTTAAAGTCAACAGCAAGAATTGTTGGAGCTTATTTCCATGTCAAAAATTACGTATCCTCTACTTACCATGCTTCAACAGCAAATAACAAGAGGTTAGAAAAATATCGAAAGAAATAGTCGAGGACAACTTACCTCACCAAATTCATCCTCGGTATTACCATTCCAGTTTCCACAGAGGCCACAGGTGTTGTTGAAATAATCTGATGACAGTGAAATATCAACATCATAGCGTCCGTTCCACCGAACCTCCAGACCAAAGGGAGTTTCCATTACCTGTCAAAGTTGAATAGCAAGAGCATTGTCAGCAATGTCTTGCGGACGAGTCAGGGGTAATATGGACCATTTGGGTGGAGCAAGCAATGCTTTCCTTTCAATTTCACCAAGGCTGAAGATGATACCACCATGGATTCCTGTTGGATTTGATCTTATTGGCGGTGTGGTAGTTGAAAACCTTAAACTTCGAGACTGAAACCAAAGACCGTTACCAAGACCAGAAGGTGGAGCTTGAGACTGAGACTTCAGAGCTTGAAGTTGGGAGGAAGACCTCATGAGCAACACTGAGACAGGGTCTCCCCAACCAATTAGAGGGAAACATAAGGGAATGTTTCATAATTACAGAAGGCGGTATTTACTGCCGGGTACCACTGTATTTTTGCGGTACCAGCATTAAGCCCTTTCGGGTAACTAGTGCGGTGCCGCTAAAAAAAACAGCGATACCACAGTAAATACCGCCTTCAACAATTATGAAACGCTCCCTAAATATTAATGGACAATGTCACTTTTAAGTTATATCCATTTATATAAGTGGGGGAAAAAACAAATAAAGACTCAAGGGAAGAACTTGATAAAATGCCATTTTGGGGAAACAAAATGGAACATCTGTGCTTCAACAACTTGCGTTCTTGAGAACTGGCTAAAGTTAACAAGTCTGATGATGTCCAGATGCTTTAAAAACATCCTGAACAGTTTTAATTGGTATATGCCATGCATTTTGTTAGGCTGGGATTTTCCTTTCCTGCTTCCATTGTAAGATAAGATCTTTACGGTCAAGACCAAGCAGGTTCCTGAGATTTTTGCTCTCCGACCAAGACCACAATCTGAAAACCCTGAAATTGCCATACCTCAGTGGTCTTGAAAATGTATACCGCTACTTGTTAATTCCAAACAATAATTGCAATCCCGTCAGCTGCTCCAGTCAATCAAAACTTCACACAATCTATAACCACTGTTGACAGGAATGATGGAGTCCAAAACTCTATTAACCCTAACCCTCCTCAATCCTTCACCTGTTGGAGGACTGAGGAGGGTTAGGGTTAAAGATGAACATATTAGAAGTATTCTTAAAGGTTCATGATATCACTATGGGTCCTTACAAGGTATTTGCCCCGTCTAATGACTTGAAGGCCTCCAAACCCAACCACAGGGGGCTTGGCTTCAACACCGTTGACGTACAATTTCCTGTTTCGTTTGAAGGCAAACACCTGTTGGTGAGTGAATCCAAAAAACACATCTAAAACATGACTTTTAGGTGACAATTTACTGGAAAATGGGAGCTTTGATGCTGTTACAAGTATGGGGATCACTGCAGAAGTGGCCATGTTGAGAAAACTGGATAAAATCCAATGATAACACTATAGTGAACAGTATTTTAGTGTTAAACGCACTGCATGTCGACAAGGGCCACAGTTCAGCATTGGAAATAATTTATTTATCCATTTATTTTGCTTTGAAAAACTCCAATAAAAAATTCTAAAAAAATCTAGTGACTGGATAACAAAATGAGGCCTATCTACTTAAAAATTATGAAGAAGACTTTAAACCACACATCAAATCGAAATAAAAATTACATGTTCAACAACTTATGTAAGATTTGTCTGATTGAATGCAAAGGTAACGAAACAAGCTTAAAGAAGTTACTGATAGAAACAATTTGTGGGACAGCCAATGTTAGATATCTGCTTGTACAATCACGTAACCAAGTAACCACGAAAGCATTGTTGCTTCTGAGAGTTTGAATGTAAGGCCGTGAGCTTCAAAGGGGAGTATTGTTTCAAATAGATGAGAGACTCGGCAAATTTTTCAAATAACTAAACTGCATCATGACTCTGAAGACAGTAACTGAAGACCATTCATGTCAGTTCAATAATCAGAGTAACTGTCACAACTAGCAATCATGGAGGATGTTTTCAAATTTGTTTAATTACCATAGCTTATACATTGATGTACACAGTGATGTCTAACATTGGCATCTGAATATGCATGAGGTATTTAGGTTCGCTTGAGAAGGCGGGTCAATGTTAGCTCCCCAATGTATCAGAAGTTGACAACAAGTTCTCTAAGAAAAGTGTTTGCCTACGTCCAATACCTTGGGGAGCTATTAAAAACCATGACCAATTTGTGCAATTACAACAGTGAAGGACAAAAACTCAATATTGAAAACTCCAGCCAAGTTATCTGCTTAGCACATGTGGTGGTACACTGACTGTGAAAGCTGGTACACAAACACTTTGCTAATGGGGTGAGAATCTAATTACTGATGGACGACACTCAGTGGTCCACAAACCTACCGTCCCATCGATCTCAACGTAGACAGCCCTGGTACGTGAAGGCCCCTGGCCACTCTCTCTCACTTTCTGGTTCTCCTGGATTACGCGGAAGGCGGGACCATTGCCAGGATCACAGGGCTGAAGCAGGACGTACTTGCAGCCCCCTTGGTAGTTGAAGTTGACACCGTCCAAGGAACGATAATGGGGATCTCCATGAGCATAGCAGTGACCTTGGCCTGTGCAGAATAAGACAGACAAATACAGTCAAACCTGCCTTAGCGACACACCTGTGTATAGCATCCACCTGTCATTAACGACCATTTCCAAATCCCCCATCTAAAAACTACTGTTTACATACTGCGTATAATGGCCCACTGCACAACGTGACCAGCAACTGCCCATTTTTGCATCTGTACGGGCGCCAACATCTGTACACAATGACTGCAACTTGGGAGCCGTCAAAGAAATTGACTAGTATAAACCACTTCTGCCACAGTCGTTTGATTCTTGAGATAATCAAATAGCCAAGTAAACTACAGTATTTAGGATTAGTCAATTAATTCCGAGGTCACTTCCAGGATCTTTTCAATTTTAATCTCAGTCTTAAGTTGCATTCACAAAACAGACTGACTCTACTTGGGACAGAAGAACTCAATGGTCACTAAATAAGGCAGGGCTGACTGACATTTCTTTGATGGACATGTTCCACTACCTGCATAGTGAGACCACCTGACCACTTTCTCCATTTCCCCTTGAGTGGTCTTTCTGGGCAGGTTTGACTGTACAACTTCAGTTTGATCTTAAAACAAACACTAGAGTGAAGATAACTGGACCAACTATGGGCCCCAAGCTTTTCCAAGAGAGGGCGCTATTTTCTTAACAACAGAGGCTCCTTTGTTCAGAAATGAATTTTGCTGGTTCACAAAACGACTAGGAAATGCATGCTTCACAGTTGCATCACTGCCGACAAAATAAACACTCCTGATCAACACGGCTTTTTTCAACCGATGAGGGAGTGCTTCTGCTGGAGGCGGATATCACACTGAGGTGAGTGCGCTGTAGCCAGACTGTGGAACTGAACTCAAATGCCCCCACTGTAATGCTTTCCAACTGATGTGAGCCTTGGTTGTTCAGCTGGGTGTGTGTGTTTGGCAACATGAGCACATTCAGCATGCCAATGCCGAGCTTAAAATGTTTGGAGAAGAGTCATACACCCTTAACTAAGTGTACTGAGATGTTACAAATGTTCTTTAAACAAATTTGTCAATCAGTACACAAAAAACAGAGACACGTTGAAAACACTGTGCTGAGTAGCTGGATTTTGCCCCCAAACTGTAACTTTCAAACCATCACAGCCAACAGGTTTGGCTTTCAGTTTAAAAAAGGAAAAGATACAGTGTCCAAAATGAAACACAGCCCACAGCAGAGACAGCATTGACCTCAAAGCTTCTCAACAGTTATTTGCACATTTACAGATGTTTTTATGAGATAAAACAACCAAATCTCTCAAGATTGAGGGTTATACTAATGCTGGTACAGTGGTACTACTGACTTACTTCGCTCGCTGCAGTTATATCCTCCAGAGCCTCGGAAGCAGACGCAATAATAGCCACTAGCCCGCCTTGCATCACGTACACACCGTCCATTGTTACATGGATTGGGATCACAGGGGTCATCTGAAAGACAAACGGTGTGGATGCCGAGTTGAACTCAAAATGGGATGGAAAACAAGCACATCTGCGGCATGAAATTTCTTGATTATAAAATTCTAGTCAGGTTTCTCCTAAAAGCACGAGGAGTTGATAACCAGGGCATGTTCTTGGAGCAACTCTGAAACTAACAACAAAAATACTGCAAATTCTTTAATGACTAATGCAAATGTTTCAAAAGTGCTTCACATTTACCAGCCCTATTCCTCAGGCCATGAAATCAATTCCACTCAAGCATTTCAAGATCAGGACTATCTGGCGATATGGTATCTACCATCACAGATCATTTCTACTCTTGGTAGAAGGGAAGTAAATGTTGTAAACTGTCCTGCTCAAGAACATATGGACTCTTTATTGCTCTAAGAAATTTTGCTCTTGATGACTTTGCAAAGACTAGGTGTAAAAAGGTCTGCAGCGTTCTGCATTCTTACCCACGCATATGTCTCCATTATCTATGAAGCCTTCATTGCAAAAGCATCCATGGACCCCATCCACGGTACCACAGAAGCGGTTGCCAGCACAGCTGAATGGTAGGCAAACTGGCTGTCCCGATGCACAGGTGCACCTCATTGTACAGTTGCTATTCAAGAAGATCTCAGAGGTCTAGAAAGAGACAAACGTGGGCTTCTCAGGAAGTACCAAGTTGAAACGGTTTGTCTGCACTACTTCCTCGGTACAAAGACAGCTATTAGGCCTTGTTTGCAGTTGGTTGTGGCAAAAGCTGGAGGCATGCAAAATTATCAAGACGCAGACAGTTGGGGAAGAGAATTAAAAAAAAAAAAAAGATCCCGGTTCTAACTCTGGAAATGTTGTTATAATATGCCCCTTCAAGATGGTTCAGTACCAACTCTTGAAGCCTAAGTGGTACTGTAAAGGGGGAAAACCTTAAGTTGACCTGGCTCAGTCCACGTACGGAAAGACAAGGCAAATGCAGTATTCCTCATTACTTTTTCCAGAAGGGCATATTAAAAAGAAGTCAACAAATTGCTCACTGTGTGATAGAGGCCTTCAAAGTAACAGCCACACTGGTCTTCGGGTACGCATCTCTGATCACCGTCCAGGACGTGTCCGTCCTCACACTGGCAGCCCTCCACACAGGGCAAGAGGCATACAAAGTTGTCCAGCCGATCCTCACCACACAGCCTGGGGCAGGCGCTCATGCATGGGCTGTACCTGGAGTTGTCTGGACACTTCAGAGCTGACGAGGCATAAACGAGGTGAGGAAATAAAACCTCAAGCTTGCCAGGACCATTCTTTGGAATATCATTGGCTGCCCCAGTACATACAGTTTACATAGTACAGTTGGGCCATAGCAGTTGGCCAAACTATGGCCCAATTGTGGTAAATTAAGTGTGCCCTAATAGATCATTGGACAAAGCTCTATATGACTATGATATCTGCCATTTTTATTTCAAATATATTAGCAATACATGCCAGCAGAATCTATTTTTTATTTGATAAAGTGCCAGAGTGGCATATTTCTGTTCAATTCTGTCAGTTAAGAGCTGCAAAACCCTAGAGAGGTTAGAAAATTTTGTACAAACATTTGCCAGTAGACAAAGTTCAACTGCTTCTGTGCCTGTCATATCTACAATCGGGAAAATCAAACTTCATTTGACACAAAATGGAAAATCCTTGCTGAGAGAGTTCGGTGATCCTAAATAGTCTCAGCATTTCTGAAACCAGGAATCCAGCACTTACGGCAGAATTCCTCCGTTCTCCAAGGCCTGACCTCGATGCCTATGGCCTGGCACTGTGAGGCATAGCTGGCGGGCATTGCTGCAGGCACTGCTGGGGTCCGGCCGGGCAGCGCACCAGTCGTACAGTGCATCTGCTAGGAATGTAGAGGGATCAACCTCTTCGAAACACCTTCCAAGGGGGCCTGTCAGTAAGAACCAAGCGACAATGATCAAAGAACCAACTAAAGATAACAGCCCATTCCCTAGTCTGGAGGAGAGAGCTTTGGACGAATCTAAAGACTTTGTCAAGCCCATGGACAACGCCTTGATTTTTCCAGAGCAGGGGGGGAGCACTTTAATAATAATCTTCCCAGGAGGGTGAAACAGATAAAATACTTATCAGTTAGAAACTGATAAATGATTTATTAACAGTAGGAGGGGGTTAATTTTAATGTTTTTTCCACTCAAATTGGTAAGTTTCATAACTTTTACCTCTTTTTTTCTTTTTCCCTTCATTAATTTTCTAACCCTGTCAAGGAACACCTCATGTACCACATTTACAATACTTTACGAGGGTTTATAAAAGTCTGATGAAGGAGACTGATGAAAGAGTTTTGGCACTGTATGTCAGCAGGTCAATGAAATAAATCAGATCTTGGTCTGTGCAGTAATTTGAACCGATGGTCATGAGTGCCATAGCCAGAAAAATTTCATGAGGTCACACATGGAATGTTCCATTCCCCAAGATGGAGCCAAAGTAGAATCAGTGTGGATTGGAACATTCCACTTGTCATCCCATAAAATTATTTTCACTTCACAAATGTGAAGCATTAATTATTGTCTTTTTTAAAACAATAAATCTCCACTTGAATAAATCCATCCAAAACTAGCCACGGTGCTTATTTTTGTTGACTGACCAAACAGAACTTCCATTTACCACAGGAATGGAGCTTCCATTTTTGTGGTACAGCCAATCCATGCATTGGCATTAATGACTCAACAGGTAATCAACAATCTGCCAATCAGATGACGGGGATTTATTCAGGCATTCCACAATGACACCCAGTCCACTACAGAGAGTCAAGAGGTGGAATGAATTCAATAGATTTGGTAATTACCCTCAGGATCCGAGAACACGGCAAAAAAGCGGATGGCCACTTCATCTGCTTCTAACTCCGGGCCAAAGAGATCCTCGCAGGGATGAGCACCATTGGTTTCATCATCGGCACTGCAGTTTTCAGGATTGGCCTTCCAGCTGTTGCCAAATTCAATGGGGCCATCAACCTTCAGAAGAGGAAAGGAAAGGAGATCTCTAAACTGTCTGATCTTCAAAAAGTGTGCCTATACAGGAAGTGATGCGACCACCAGTAGATGTGTGGCATGTTCTTCTGTGTCAGGTATCACGCTACTAATCTCATTCTTTGCAAGCACTGTGTATGCAAGCTGCCGATCTTTTGCTGAGTGCTGGTGATGTCATCAGCATGTGGGCAAATCTCAGCTATTTTCTTGTGTTAATGCACGAGACGGCACAATGTCAAATCTTTCAAACACGAAAAAAAAATACCCTCAAGGTCACTGTCTCTGGCTGACTCACCGGTTGATTGTCTGGACCGACGTACTCATTGCTGCGGTCAGAGTCCATGTTACCACACAGGCCACAGGTCTGGTTAGAGAACTGATAGGACAGCATGATGTCTACAGTGTCGTCCCCATCCCAACGAACCTCCAGGGAGTTATTAAACTTGGCCACCTTGTACACACGCACAAAGAAAAAAATCAGACCTCTTGACTTTTTTTAAACACTTTGCAGCATTCTTGTTAAAATTTGACCTCAGCCAAGGCAAGATTGGTAAATTTGATGCTAGCAGGCACCAATGGTGGCAGAACAGTTTTCAAAGAGGGGACTGCAAGTTGTGAGACCATCAGCCATCAGCAGACCAATCCCATTAAGCCCCGCCCATTACAAGACCTGGCAAAAGTGTGAATGGGCATACATCCAGTTGAAAAAGTGGGGGGGGGCACTAACCCCCCCGTCCCCTGCTTAATATACCTTGGAACAACTCCATTCCTCTAGTTCGTTAGTTTGCTGTTGATGAGTGCCCCCCCCCCGAAAAAAGTCCTGGTGATCCCATGCTTTCAACACATGCTTGCACAATGGAGTGCGTTAAACACTGCGACTTGTAGGGTTTGCTCTAACAGGGCTGATCGGTTTTCTAGCTCTTTGCTTTATGACATTATGACACAGTACCAAGCAAGAAATCTCTTGAACAAGATGTTGCAGAAGACGCGCACTTTGGTGCAGCTGACTTTCCGAATAGCAACAGCTTCATTTACAAGGCTTGGGAAACCTTTTCGTATTTGTGTGGGCGTCCAAGTAGCCACCGAAGGTTGGGTACATGACTGGAGGGCAAGATATGAAGGATGCTGACCACGTTATTCAAGGGAGGTATTTCTTGGATGTAAAAGATGAAAGGGGCACCAATCTGTGCTCACTGACTGATGATGGTATATGAATATTCATGCGATGAGCTATCAATATTCATGCAACAAAGGTGTAACATCTATCCCGACAGTGACCTATCAACTATGACATTTGAGACCCAAGCTAGACATATATTGGTAACAAGTCATCGGGGACACTTTTGTCTTTGGGAGAATTCTCTCAAGGTAAAGGGCAACACAGTAATGCAACAGTAAAACTTAGTAATGCATGAAAACAATGAGCCCAGTTTTCCCATTCTTATGCAAACTTAAAACAGAGCAATTGTTGAAAAAAATCCCTTTAAAGGCTCAATATGTGGGGTTGGTCACACTTGTAAGAGTCAAGCACCATTGAACTTACCACTCTAGTACCACTGAACATAATGGAGAAACCTGGGTACATGACAGGTGGGAAGACCAAAACGCCGTCAATCGTCACTTCTTTTTCCTGTAGCAATCTGATTTCCTACAAGTTGGCCAAAATACATCCACCATAAGATGACTTGTGACTACTGCTACTGTAGCCGACAAGAAGTTACATACCAAGGATATCAATAAAGATACCAATATGATAACTAATGTTTTTGCTGACAATTGGAAAATATGGGGGGCAAAAAGAGGTACAACCATGCACAATCAACAATATCAGTACAACTTTTGGAAAAGTGAAGGGCATATGCTCCTCAAGATTGTCAACTAAAAACGATACCTGTGCTTTTAGATTCATAAGCAGATTCAGGCCAAAGTTGACTCGTCCTACAAGGTACACTCTTAATTTGGGATCCACATATGGTAGAGACTCGATACCAAGGCAGAAGAAGCATGGGACAGGTTACAGGCTACGTGCACAAATACGCCCTCGCTGGGGACAATGAGGGATGCCGGGCACGTGAGTACTAAAAGCAGGCATAGCGGCCAGGTTGGCACAGCAGTACTAGCCTCGCCATGTCCTCTCTGTGGTCCAGGTTCATATCCCAGCCAGGCCAAAGCAACCTTCCTTGTTCAAGTACTGAGTGTATGCAGACTAGCCATTCGTAGCTATCAACATTTCATATGCCGAGCAGGCAAGGCCAATGTGACTAACGCATTCTGGTAATAAGTGAATAAAGTGAATAAGGCATGAGAGCCCCCCACTCAACAGATTAGGAAATCACTTACATGATCGAAAATATGAATCCGCAAATCCCTTGTACGGGCAGCTCTGGAGTTGGTGGAAACTTTATGGTTCTGTTGGATGATGTCAAAGTAGTGGGCGGAGTCATCTTCCCCGCAGTATTTGACCAAGTAATACTTGCAGGCCCCCTGGAAGTCAAACCTCTGCCCATCAAAGGTATGGTAGTGGGGGTCACCGCGGGCCCAGCAGTGTGCGCGGCCTGAAGAAAACAGAAACAGAGGTACAAATGAAGTGCAAGAACGAGAGCCTTGAGTGTCACTTCACGTGGTATAATGACACACTTCAGCCCGGTTTCCATTTGGTTGTAACGATGGTAGACAGCACCTCAAGACAGGGTGTGACTAGCTTGTCATTCAACCAATAACATAAAACAAAATGGTGTGAGAACATTTTTTTAGGTAGCTCTCCAATGTCTTCAAGTCAAACTGGTACTCCATTTTGATACCATTCATTTATGGTCAGCTGCTCTGTTGAAAATTACGGTGTTCAGTTTGTATGAATGAGAAAAAAAAAGACCAAGTGCCTAGTCATTCAATTAAGAGTGACACTGGTGATGCAACAGGTGTTTTTGTATGGGTCTACTCTGTCTGACAATTCGACACAGACAGTCAGCAAAGTTGAACTCGATTCAACTGTGCTGCTTGCCTGTCCATGTTTACGTTACTCACAATAAAGTGTTTCCGTAAGGTTGTGAATCATATAAATGTGTAAATCTCTACATGTCATTTATAGAAAGGAGGCTTATCTGTGTGTACTGTGACTTGGTTGCCTCTACTGCTTCTGTCTTTTTGCTTTCAGTGAAGAGGAGATATGCAAAATGACATCAAGGTATTTACTCTTGTGCAACGTTCTGACATACTGTCAACCTCAACATTGCAAAATGGAATAACAGAGAAGTTGTGCCCCAACGTTAACCCACAACTAATACGCATCTAACTCTAGCAATTTACTCTTCACTTATTCATTCATTTGTTCTCTTTACACAAGTCCTGCCAGTGAAATAAGCTTTCTGGGCTCATCCTCTTTCAAAGAAGAGAAACAAAAGTACTGATCAAATTGGCTTTCATGTGATAAACATAAATGAATTTAAAGCATGGCACAGCAGATCCACAGACTTACTACAACAACATTCATATATTCTGGCAAGACACGGAACAATCAGTAGACAAACTGACCAATTTCACAGTGGTCCCCGGTCCAGCCTCCAAAACAGACGCAGTAATATGTGCCATCGCTGTTGGCCTCACATCGACCCCCATTCGAGCAGGGGTTGTCAACACAAGGATCATCTGCAAAATGAAAATACAGAATCCAAATGCAAGCAAACAGAGGTTTTTCACGGGCAAATGCATCTTAGAAACCATACCTCGCCTATAGAAGAGCGTGCATTTTCAAATTTGTGTATTTCTATTGGCAGTTTTATGTATGTTGAGAGACTTTGAAGGCGGGCGATTTCCACGTATATCTGTGTAAATTAAATGCTTGGCATCATATCAATTGTGAGGAGCACAAAAGTAACGTTGGATGTAAAGCTAAGGAATGGAAGCATTATTGGGCAGCAAGAGTCCATGTGTATGAATGTGTACTTGAGCAGCCATCTCACTTTTGTGACAGAGAGCGCTTATGGAGTAAAGACTTTTTGTTTTAGACATTTAATCAAATTAACCAAGAATAATGTGATAGGCTTGATCTAAATTCCTTTTACCAATATGAGAAGTTAGCTTAGCAGGCCAAGGACTTGCATGTCAATGTTGAATCTGAACCACTCAATGCGAGTAAGCGTGAACAGGCTTAATGAAAGGTGATTCACACGCAGGGTGGAAGCAAACATGAATGTGAATTGGTGATATTGCGGGAAACATTCAAGAACAAATTCGTAAAAAAAATAAATGCATGCCAACTCTGGACCACTTCTGGCATAACAGCGTGTGGATTTACATCAATTGCAAGCTCTAGATGGACAATCATCCAAAGTACCTGCTTTCCAACAGCATTCAAAGCCCCGTCCTTGCTCGATCCTGTCACTGATTAAGTACATCCACAGCGAGCTACCATCAACCCGGAATCTATCGGGTGCATCGTCGCCATCAAACAGGTAGACGGGGTGGCTGGGGTCGATCTCTAGTTCTGTAACCAAAGGGGGGTCCCCGGGCCCCACGTAGAGTGAGTCACGGTCGTCCTCAATCTCAAAGGGCTCGTTGCACTTCACGGTGAAGTAGTCCACCCCAGGGACCTGGAGGACGTACTGGATGATGGTGTTTGGTGGGTAGCGTGCATCCGGGTAGTCCGGGGATCGGAAGCAGCCCATCCTGCACTCGGGTCCTACACACGTTATGCGGGCATCATATCCTATGCAAACGACTAGCATAAAAAATAGGACAAACATTTTTAAAGGGGTCAACACCGAAAGAGAAAGACCGGACACCAAAGATTTAATCAGAGTCTTCTTCTGACTGGAATAAGCAAAGAATAAGCAAAATTGTCTGCAATTTTTAGGATGACAGAGGCAATTCATACCTTCCTCTGGTGTACAAACAGCGCCGCTGCCT